CACATGTAGGAAAAGCAGCAGCGGGGCAGAGGCATGTTTGGCGCGTTTCAAAAGCAGGTTTGGTCATAAGGAAGAGGAATCGTGTGAAGATAGCAATCCAAAGACAGGGCGTGCTACTGGCAGCTAGTTCGATTTGGCAGGCATGAGTATCGCTTAGGTATTGACTCAGTTAGCTTGAGTATGGGTTCGCCTCGGTTTAGGGTGCAGCTCACAAGAGCCAAGACTACTCGAACCACAACCGTGTCTTCCCTGGATTTATCGCTTTTCTTCCCTCCTCTTCTTAAAGTGGTGGCATTCAAAACAAGTTGACAGCCCAACGCAAAGGCGCGACATGTCTTTGTCCCAACCTGCAGTTCTCTTCGCGCTTCTGCCGCTTCCACAGCCTCGCGAGGGAAGCGAGTCGGATCCCGGATATTTGCCTGTGAGGGAATGCCATTTCGTGGCTTCCCGAAAGCCACGAGAGGTCCATCGGTTGGAATGTGGAAAATTCGAAGGGAGGGCCAGTTGGTGAAGTGGTTTTACCTCTCTCAGTTCAGCGTCTCGAGCAATTGAGGTGTGTCAAGGAGCTTAGGCTCTGCGAAAGATAGAAGTGATCTTAGGGCAAATGTAATTGTGTTCTTTCCGGGGCTGTTCTCTCGAGTCTATGGGACGTAGGGCAAATACCTTCAAGCTTATGTGTGTGTGTGTGTGTTGTTTTTTCAGGTTTCACGTTGAATAGGAAACCACGCTGACACTACCATGAGGCAACTCCTATGCGATTCTCAATTAGGCCCACATCCAGCAGTCCTACCAACCCCAATCTCAAATAGTCATTGTCATCCTCTTTGCAACCCCGACAAACAAACAATCTGACCAGGTTGGCCTCCGTGCGTACAATATTTCACCGCAAACACAAACAATGCCCTTCTTCCCCCATCACACCAGGAACCTAGAAATGGATACATGCCAACCAGTGTCTAAACAAGCCCCTGGCTTCACACGCCAGCACATGCCTCCAAACTCACACCGTCCAAGGACAGCATAGTATCACTGTGGCCACGCCTAAGCTAACCCTAACGAATTAAGCCAAAATAAAGAGTAAACCCCCACCCTTCAGAAGCCCTGCGCAATTTGGCACAGCGCGCCCTGAATCTTCACTACTCACCCAGCCCCTCTGCGCCTCGTCTTTTTTGCCGTGGCACTCCAAGCTTTGAAGTACCGCTCCCTCTCCAAGTCAAAGATGCCAAAGCTGGGCTCGCCTTGCGCTGAGAAGAAGGCGATGAGGCAACAGCCAATGACCCAAATCTCTTCACCAGAGCTTGAAGCAAAACAAGAACGCAGCCCTCCGATACCCTTGCAGGCAAGGAACTGGCGTGGATTTGCCTCGCGCCATCCTGCGCAGACAGCTCTGGAAGGTGGCTGTCCAGAAAACACAAAAGCCAAAGGTGGCTGTCCCTTCAGTCTTCCCTTTCGAAAGGCCTCAAAGAGACGCGCAGCCGATTTCCCGGCTAAAGCAACGCCTTCTGACCTTCCGCCACTCCGCGCCTCGGTCTGCGCGATCAACAGGCCAGGGAATACCACCCTCTCGCCTGCAACACATTGATCACCGGGCCGACCGGGCCTCAAAAGTTGAGGCATGGTGTTCATGCTTGTAGAATTTCTGGCGGTCTCCCATTGGACAACTAAATTATTGACCAACACCCAAGAAAATTCACAGTTGAAATTCAAGTTGAAACGAGTTGAGCCCTTTGCAATCAAATGTCCCTGGTTTGACACACGGTCCCATTGTGATTGCTCCTGTCAGGCGGCACGCAATCGCAAAGTCAAGAGCAAGAAAGTGTCTGCTGCCAACATCGGACCTGCACAACCATGATGGGGAAGATTATGTTGCTTGCAGGGTAAGCTCGGTGCAGACATGGCTCAATTGGCGACTCCGAACCCTTCCGCACCCAACTCTGCCCAGGGGATCCCCGCCTGGCGCCACTTGGCCGGGCCGTGAAGTGCTCCGGGGCGGAGCTGGCGGAGCCGGCTCCGGCTTCGTGAAGTGGAGCGTGCCCGGGCGGGGCGGGTCCGGCACAGAGCGGCCTGCGCAGTGGGCTGGAAAGCTGAAGACACAGATCTGCGAAGTCAGCTATCCACAGTCAAATACTAAAAAAAGACCTCTTGGGCAAACCGCTTCTTCTGGTAGGAGAAAGTCTTTGCGGCACTGCCTGTGCACATGCATCGATCACGGGTTCTACTGCGCTTCTGAAACCATTCAATGCCAATGTGGAATTGACATCCCCATGTTGCACTGTGCGAAACCTGCGAGCTTGTGCATTTAAGCATTGTTCTTTCTAGACGGGCACATCTAGAGTGTGAAGGTAGAATGCGTGGACCGGTGCCCAGCAAGCATAAACCTGTAGGGGCAAGAAACCTTCCTCTTTCACAAAAACCATCTCCCTAAAACAACACAATAGAAATTGACAACGGCAAGAACCGCTTTTGAGACGAGTCATATTGCACTTTTCTTGATTGCCAGGTCAGGAAAGGGGCCCAAGACTGATTTGATGTCCGCTTCAAACTGAACAAATCAAAGGCCCACTCTTAAAAAAGTCAACCCTGTGATGCCGGCTCAGCGCGAAGGCTGCTTACCAAGCAGCGCTATTTGGATGAGTTGAGGTTGGATGAATGCGTTGCTCACTTCCTGAGTGGATGGCCCAAAAAAGGTCGGAACCTTATATTCACAACTAAACAATTTTTTTCCAACAAGTCTCTCAAGTCCAACTTGGGAAGCGAGGAGTTCCCATAACTCGGAATGACTTGTTGAGACAGTTCCGTAGCGCCTTCGACCAGGTCGAAATGCTTCCCAGGCACCTGCCAGTGCCTCCAGGGTGCCCGGAGGAAGCGCGGCCAACACATCCATCGCGTCCGGCCTCATTGAAGGCTCCGAAGGGCCAAAAAAAACACCAGTACGCGCCCGTTCCCCGCCTGACAGCTTTGGGGCTGCTAGGTTTTAGGTGACATCCGAGCTCCGCGACCGGCCACGCCCGCCCGCCGACCAAGCCTGACAGACAGATCGGGCAGACGGATGTAACAGAGCCTGTGACAGGCCGACGTGACAGCAGACAGAAGTGAGAGAGGGTGTGACCCAGGTGTGACCTGAGTCTCGCCAGGCCGTGGAGCCAGGACAGCGCCGGTGGGCAGGCCCGACAGCCCGCTCCCGCCAGCGGCCGGGTCGCGACGGCCCGAGCCTGAGGTTCCCAAACCCGTAACCAGTGGCTAGGCCGGGCAGCCACAACAGCCACGACAGGCTCCCGCCAGCCGCAGTGACCAGGCACCGAAGCCTGTTCGCCAGTGGCGGCCGGGCCGGGACAGCCGCGTGCAACCGTCACTGGAGAAAAGAAGTTGCGCGCCTTAGGCGGGCATCGTTCGAAGTAAAGCATTGTTTTGTTTTGTTGTGGGGGCTTCTTTTTTTTTAATAGCGAGTCGTTGCACACACCTTGTCTTCTGATGAAACCCATGTTGAACGTTGGCGTTGAAGGGAAACCAGAAGCAAGCCAGTTTGAGGGTGCCCTGAATAGTGTGACAAACCAAATCGGATTCCTAATCTGGTGATGGTCTGTGCCCACCTGAGCACAGCACCCCCTCCCTAATGGTGAGCCCGCCATTCAGTCCAACACCCCACATTTCTTTGACAAGTTCGTAAATCGGTAGCAGCAAAAGAGTCTTCCAAGGCAAATCTTAAGTGTCCCTAGTTAAGCTCTTTGTAACTTAGAGGCTTCTGAGCAGAGTTTGAACTATGGTGACGGAAGAACACGCAAGGAATAGGCGTGTTGACCATTGCACATTTGGCAATATAAAGCAGGAAGCCGTCCAGGTAATTGGTCAACTAATAGATTTCCCTTTTAAACAATTCGACAAAGGGAACCCAACTTCCATTTGGAGGCCACACAGCCACTTGGGCAAACAGTTGGTGCCTAAAACCACGAGAGCTTCGACCCTAGACACCAATTCTACTTGAGACCTTGGCCCCTGGCGCGTCATTTGTGTCTGCCTCGTACCGGGGAGGCCACGCCTAAGCGGAGTTTACCACTGGCCCACCTTTGAACCTCCAGCTGGGTGAAAGTAGATGGCCTCTGCCACCCATGCAGTTTCTATCATCTTTTTTTACTTGAAACCCAGGTGTTAATCACCAGGGCTTGCTGGCGATACACAACCCTTGGAACAGGGGCAGGGGTCACTGGCTTGATCTCGAAAACAAATGCCAGGCGGGCAGGTGGTGTTTTGGTGCTTGGTAAACGCGCAGAGACCTGGCTGCCTTTCCAGACACGAAGCTGTCAATGCAATTCTTGGGAGACAGCTGCAAAAATGCACTAGGACCCATCTGGTGCTCACTGCAGGAAGAAACCTCGCATGTCCCCATCGCTCTCAGATGCAAAGAACAAACTTGCAGCGCCAAGGCTCGATGCGCTCGTTCTCTGGCAAGCCCGATTGCCTCACTTGGCAGGGTATGTGAGCAAACAATCACATCCCACGAGGTCCACCCTTGCTGCTTTCCACTTGACCCACTGAGAAAAAATATGGGCTTGGGCCAGCGCTGAGCTCCTGGCAAATCTGCCAGGACATACTCCACATTCTGCAGCTGAGCCTCGCGCGCTCGCAAGCTGCTAGAGGAATACGTTGACCCGCTGAAGAGCTTCGGGAAAAAACGGAAAGGCAAAGCGCTTGGAGGAATCAGTCCCCAAATCTGATACCATCTGCTGGGCACCTCCAGAATATTCGCTGTGGCGATAGGTGACAAGGTCGCTGGTCCTGGATCTTGGACCTGCGATCGATCGATCGCGCCAAAGGCCTGGGAGATCGAAAAACCAGACAAAGAACTTTGCATCGTCCGAGTTTTGGAGTTTTCGATTTCAGGTTGCCTTGGACATGGAACCGCTTCGGTTGGTGGACATGAATGTCTGATCCCTGAATTCCACTTGGCCAACTCCCTGCTCCACCTCCAGCTCCGCGAGGGGCACGGAAGGCAGCGATGGCAACTGGCGATGGCATTCTCGTGGGGAAAAAACGTCGAATTGGGCCAGTGACCTTGACGCCTTTGAAGAGGTGGAGTGCTATTCTTCAGCTCATTTTGCCAGCCAGCGAAATTATGAACGGCTGACCACATCGCGTGGTAGCATCTAGAGAATATTCGAGGCATTCCAGTCAAATGCAAAGCAGCAAGCGCTGCTTGGGCTGAGAGTCGTCGACGTGCCATCGTCCGGTATGTCAACAACTTCATGACAGCATCTCTTACGAGTGTGGATCAATCATGGTATCAATCATATCTGTGCCGAAACCGCTAGTGACAACGACTCAACACACCACGGACGTGGGCGCGCCACCATACTGCACGACACTCGCAGAAAAGGACATGACTGCCAGCCTTCGCTCTGCACCGTTCTCTGAGCAGGGTTTCCGGGCAGGACACATCCCAAAATTACATGGTTCAACACGAGGTCCTCCGAATCAGCTAGCGAAAACGATTTTTCCTCAAATTTGCGGATTGCCCTTTGAGAAGCCCTGCTCTAAAACAGTGGGGCACCAAACAAAGCCCAGCGGACACTCAGCGCTTGGACGCGGCCGCTCACATCTTGAGCAAACGAAGAGCCTGCCGGCGCCCTGGAGCTTGACCGAAGCATGCCAGAGGTCTGAAAGAATCCGATTTCTTCAGAACTGACAAATTATCAAAGCGGCCTGAACCCATGTTGGAAGTTTCAAAGACAAGCTGGAACCGTTTTTTTCGTCTGACAGTCGTGCACGATGTCGTACAATGTTTAGGCCACAAAATCGCACAAACCACGGATCACCATGCATGACCACGCAAACAAGCGTGCAAATCATTGCGTGGTAGCATTGACAGAATTTCGAGGCATTCCAGTCAAATGCAAAGCAGCATTTGCTGATTGGGCTGAGAGTCGTCGACGTGCCATCGTCCGGTATGTCAACAACTTCATGACAGCATCTCTTACGAGTGTGGATCAATCATGGCAAGCGCTGCTTGGGCTGAGAGTCGTCAACGTGCCATCGTCCGGTATGTCAACAACTTCATAACAGTCTTACGAGTGTGGATCAATCATGGTATCAATCCTAATATGTGCCGAAACCGCTAGTGACAACAACTCAACACACCACGGACGTGGGCGCGCCACCATACTGCACGACACTTCGCAGAAAAGGACATGACTGCCAGCGTTTGCTCTGGACCTTTCTCTGAGCAGGGTTTCCGGGCAGTACACATCCCAAAATTACATGGTTCAACACGAGGTCCTCCGAATCAGCTAGCGAAAACGATTTTTCCTCAAATTTGCGGATTGCCTTTGAGAAGCCCTGCTCTAAAACAGTGGGGCACCAAACAAAGCCCAGCGGACACTCAGCGCTTGGCCGCGGCCGCTCACATCTTGAGCAAATGAAGAGCCTGCCAGCGCCCTGGAGCTTGACCGAAGCATGCCAGAGGTCTGAAAGAATCCGATTTCTTCAGAACTGACAAATTATCAAAGCGGCCTGAACCCATGTTGGAAGTTTCAAAGACAAGCTGGAACCGTTTTTTTCGTCTGACAGTCGTGCACGATGTCGTACAATGTTTAGGCCACAAAATCGCACAAACCACGGATCACCATGCATGACCACGCAAACAAGCGTGCAAATTACCGTGTGGTAGCATTGACAGAATTTGGAGGCATTCCAGTCAAATGCAAAAGCAGCAAGCGCTGCTTGGGCTGAGAGTCGTCGACGTGCCATCGTCCGGTATGTCAACAACTTCATGACAGCATCTCTTCGAGTGTGGATCAATCATGGTATCAATCATATCTGTGCCGAAACCGCTAGTGACAACAGCTCAACACTCCACGGACGTGGGCGCGCCACCATACTGCACGACACTCGCAGAAAAGGACATGACTGCCAGCCTTCGCTCTGCACCGTTCTCTGAGCAGGGTTTCCGGGCAGGACACATCCCAAAATTACATGGTTCAACACGAGGTCCTCCGAATCAGCTAGCGAAAACGATTCTTCCTCAAATTTGCGGATTGCCTTTGAGGAGCCCTGCTCTAAAACAGTGGGGCACCAAACAAAGCCCAGCGGACACTCAGCGCTTGGCCGCGGCCGCTCACATCTTGAGCAAATGAAGAGCCTGCCGGCGCCCTGGAGCTTGACCGAAGCATGCCAGAGGTCTGAAAGAATCCGATTTCTTCAGAACTGACAAATGATCAAAGCGGCCTGAACCCATGTTGGAAGTTTCAAACAAACTGGAACCGTTTTTTTCGTCTGACAGTCGTGCACGATGTCGTACAATGTTTAGGCCACAAAATCGCACAAACCACGGATCACCATGCATGACCACGCAAACAAGCGTGCAAATTATCGTGTGGTAGCATTGACAGAATTTCGAGGCATTCCAGTCAAATGCAAAGCAGCATTTGCTGCTTGGGCTGAGAGTCGTCGACGTGCCATCGTCCGGTATGTAAACAACTTCATGACAGCATCTCTTACGATTGTGGATCAATCATGGTATCAATCATATCTGTGCCGAAACCGCTAGTGACAACAACTCAACACACCACGGACGTGGGCGCGCCACCATACTGCACGACACTCGCAGAAACGAACATGACTGCCAGCCTTTGCTCTGGACCGTTCTCTGAGCAGGGTTTCCGGGCAGGACACATCCCAAAATTACATCGTTCAACACGAGGTCCTCCGAATCAGCTAGCGAAACCTATTTTTCCTCAAATTTGCGGATTGCCTTTGAGGAGCCCTGCTCTAAAACAGTGGGGCACCAAACAAAGCCCAGCGGACACTCAGCGCTTGGCCGCGGCCGCTCACATCTTGAGCAAATGAAGAGCCTGCCGGCGCCCTGGAGCTTGACCGAAGCATGCCAGAGGTCTGAAAGAATCCGATTTCTTCAGAACTGACAAATTATCAAAGCGGCCTGAACCCATGTTGGAAGTTTCAAACAAACTGGAACCGTTTTTTTCGTCTGACAGTCGTGCACGATGTCGTACAATGTTTAGGCCACAAAATCGCACAAACCACGGATCACCATGCATGACCACGCAAACAAGCGTGCAAATTATCGTGTGGTAGCATTGACATAATTTGGAGGCATTCCAGTCAAATGCAAAAGCAGCATTTGCTGCTTGGGCTGAGAGTCGTCGACGTGCCATGGTCCGGTATGTAAACAACTTCATGACAGCATCTCTTACGATTGTGGATCAATCATGGTATCAATCATATCTGTGCCGAAACCGCTAGTGACAACAGCTCAACACTCCACGGACGTGGGCGCGCCACCATACTGCACGACACTCGCAGAAAAGGACATGACTGCCAGCCTTTGCTCTGGACCGTTCTCTGAGCAGGGTTTCCGGGCAGGACACACCCATAAAATACATGGTTCAACACGAGGTCCTCCGAATCAGCTAGCGAAAACGATTTTTCCTCAAATTTGCGGATTGCCTTTGAGAAGCCCTGCTCTAAAACAGTGGGGCACCAAACAAAGCCCAGCGGACACTTAGCGCTTGGACGCGGCCGCTCACATCTTGAGCAAACGAAGAGCCTGCCGGCGCCCTGGAGCTTGACCGAAGCATGCCAGAGGTCTGAAAGAATGCGATTTCTTCAGAACTGACAAATTATCAAAGCGGCCTGAACCCATGTTGGAAGTTTCGAAGACAAGCTGGAACCGCTTTTGTTTTTTCAATGGGAGTTCACTACATTTCCGGAAGATCGCAGCATTGTGCCATTCCCATGATACTGGGGCGAATTTCACATGGCGGTGATCCTCGTGTTTGTGCCCAATCAATGGCATTTCCGAAATTCCAGCCCTTTTTACCCTGCAGCCCAGTGTCTAACGCTCCTGTTTAGGGAGCCAGGCTCCCATTCCAGATCACACCCAAGCATCCAGCCTTCAAGCTACGCTCGCGAAGCTTCCTCTAGCTCCATCACACATGCTCGCTTCAGCCTTGGCGAAATCGCCCATGCAAACTGTGGATCGCTTCGAATGCTAGTTTGGTGGGTCGGGTCTTGCTCAAATTCATGAGCAGATTAGAAGTAAACCAAAGGAAACCAAGCACTTGTTGTTGCTTAGCGAGCAAGTACACATTTTCAACCAACCACTTAAAGGTTAAAGACCCAGATGGCAGGCAAGGCGCATGCTCAGTCTGCGAAGGAGTATCTCCTTTCTCAATCCGCTCTCTTGATCTGGAAGGATGTCCATAAAGTTCTGCAACCTTGCGAGTCCGGAGGTCAAATATTTTGAAACATAAAGAGACGTCCCCGTTTGATTCCGTTGACAGTGAGAGTTGCGCCTTTTTTGTCGGTCTCATCAAATCTGGAGGGGTTGCTGCTTGTGTGCCTGTCCACTAAACGAAACTTGGGGCACGAAGACATCTGGAGCCAGACCATGCGTGTCGCTAAAGTCGCACTCATTCCCTTGGAGGCTCACGCAAGGGAAGTCAGCAAGCTCTAGCATCGTCAGGGCTTTTGCTGTTTGCAATTGAGGTGTTTCTCTGCTGTGTTGCTGCTGATGCAGCATGCGCAGTCCTGCATCCATCAAAGCCGACCCGGGATAACGCGCCGTGTGTGTGGTGCTTGTCCACGCTCCAGCTTTTGAGCAATCTCCCTAAAGCTCGTGTCATTGAAACTGAGCGGGAGTGGTGTCTTGACAAGTGGTTCATGCCCATTTGTTTCTTGACATACGGGTTTGCAAGATTTCCCGCGCTCGCCCATTTTGTGTGCGACCCATATTGGGAACGCGCGTCAGCCCATCAGCCAAGTTTTTCGTGAGCGACAGTGCCTTGCAGTATACAGACTCGCAATAGCTGTTGTTGCTTTTGGGCCCTGACCGCGCACTTAGTTGCACTGAGCGAGTTGCAAAGAAAAAAAGGCAACATTGGCTACCCCAGAGCTGTACTTCCGAACATGGGGTGGGGATGTCTGTTGATGTTTTGCCCCAACGAGCCCCCTTTTCTGGCAAGCTCTGTCGGGACCGGCTTAGGCCTGA